AAAACATGAAGGCGGTAGTTCTGCTTTTTGTCAAGGTCCCTTCTAACTGGGAATTTCGATGACATTCCAATGCAAAAGCTGAATGATGTATGTTTATTTTGGGGGGAGGATGACAAAGCCACTTTAAGATTTATTAAATGTAACAAACTTTTACAAAAAGAGAATTGCAACTTTCATGGCAGTTTCCACTTAAATTCCAGAATTTAAAGTAATTTGGGCTTTTTTGGAGGTGGGCCTCACATGGACACTTACCTGACAGTAAGTGGCTGTGCTTTTTGTCTTGATCGATTCCAACTCACTTTCTGAGATGTCACTCAGTCTCTCACTTTCAGCCTCTTCATTCTCTGCTGCTTGAAGTACATCCTCTGACACAACAAAATCCTCATCAACCTCCTCCGCTTTTTTCCTCTTACGTCTTCGTTTCACAGGCTCCTCATAGTCCCCTTCTTCTATACTTGTTGGCTTGGAGGGAGAGGGCACGCCAGACGCAGACCACTCATCTTCTAAGTCTTGCAGATACAGTAACGCTCTACAGACAGACAGAGGGACAGATACAGTAACTCTTTACAGACAGAGGGACAGATACAGTAATGCTCGACAGAGAGGGCAGATCCATACTGAGAGGGCAGATCCAGCAGTCTCTCCAGACAGACAGAGAGAGGGCAGATCCAGCAGTCTCTACAGACAGACAGACGGCAGATCCAGCAGTCTCCACAGACAGAGAGGGCAGATCCAGCAGTCTCCACAGACAGAGAGGGCAGATCCAGCAGTCTCCACAGACAGACAGACGGCAGATCCAGCAGTCTCCACAGACAGACAGACGGCAGATCCAGCAGTCTCCACAGACAGACAGAGGGCAGATACAGCAGTCTCCACAGACAGACAGACGGCAGATCCAGCAGTCTCCACAGACAGACAGAGGGCAGATACAGCAGTCTCCACAGACAGACAGCAGTCTCCACAGACAGACAGCAGTCTCCACAGACAGACAGCAGTCTCCACAGACAGACAGCAGTCTCCACAGACAGACAGCAGTCTCCACAGACAGACAGCAGTCTCTACAGACAGACAGCAGTCTCTACAGACAGACAGCAGTCTCTACAGACAGACAGCAGATACAGCAGTCTCTACAGACAGACGGCAGATACAGCAGTCTCTACAGACAGACGGCAGATACAGCAGTCTCTACAGACAGACGGCAGATACAGCAGTCTCT